TGCAGAGATGTGGAATCAACTCAAGTGCCCATCAATACATGAGTGGATTAATAAAACATGATATATGTATACAATGGAGTACTACTTAGCCATAAACAATTGGGGGACTACCTTTTGTAACAACCTGGATGAAACTGGAGACCATTCTTCTAAGTGAAGTTTTTCAAGAATGGGAAAACAAACACCACATGTACTCATTATTAATTTGGAACTAATGGATCAGCACCATGTGCACTTTTGGTAGTAAAACTTAAGGAAATGCAAGCAGGTGGGAAGGGCAGGAGTAAGTTCACAGCTAATAGGTATAATACATCATTTGACTGAGGGGCACCTCATAACTTTGGCTCAGATTGTACAAAAGCAATTCACATAACCAAAACATTAGGGCTCCTGTGATATTCTGGAATTTAAAAAAGATATGATCTTCATACAACGTAAAGAGTCTCAGAAACAGAAAGTTGAGTAAAAGATGACAAATGTGATTTCAGTCACATGAAACTACAGAATAAGAAAGGCTAATTTGTGGTGGCAGAAGTGCTAATAGTATTAATTGTTTCTTTGAGATGGGAGGTGTGACTAGGAAAGGGAAAAAGAGAGCTTTGGAAATGCCGACAATATGCTTTTTATATCTTAAGCCATAAACATATAATATATACACTTTCCTGGATGAATTAAATGCCAAAAAAGAAAAAAAAATACATTTATTTAAACATGGAAAAATAACCAGGAAAATTATAAATAACAAGGTGTCAGAACAATCTAGATCTATGAAATAGTACAATGTATTATACGTATACATAAATTTTAAAGAGTGTGGAATTGATAGAGGAACAGATATCAACAAGAACAAAGAACAGGTTCAAAATGAACCTAAATGTAAAATAGAACTTTGGTTCTATGTGTATGTACACAGTTCCTGGAAATGTTGAGTGGTGTTAGATTTCAATCAATTTTAGTGAATGAATCAAATTAAAATCCTAAGTTATCCAAAAGAAGCAAATATCTATAACAAATATTTAAAACCATGAGCCTCCATGTTAAATGTAAAGTGTTCCTGTCACATCTCAACACAGAACAGAAAGAAACTTGCTTTTCCTGCATAATTTTCTTCTCTCTTTAAGATGATTAATAAATTAAAATTGGTTGAGCGTGAGGGACAAGAGCAACAAACTATCTTATTATCTGAAAGTAGTCAAAAATGGTTGTGACCCCATACCTTTTTATTTATAATCTGTATGGAGTAGAAAATGTCTGTTACTTTTTAATTAGTACAGAGTTATAAAGGAGTATGTATCATTTTAAACAATAGAGCCCCACCTTGAACCCAAAAATAATTTCTTAGTCTCTTTACATCGAAAATTGAAGTGTAGATTTTTCTTTAGAAGAGGCCAAATATAGAAGATTAAATAGTGTTATCAGGACCTAGCTTCTTTCTTACACAGCCATTTTCCCTGTGATCACAAGATGGCTGCCAATGGCTCTTTGGCCAGCATCTTTCTGAGTTCCCATCCCTTGAAAATGCAGCCATCTTTGTCATAGTGTTTCCTGAAAAGGCCTCATTGAATTTCTTTGGTTCTAAATGTGTCATACCAATTTCTGGACCAAGCAGTCTTTACTGATTTGAGTAGTTTAGTCCTAAATTTCATTCTCCACATCTGATTTCTGGAGGCATAAATCCATGGGCTGAGAGTAGGAAATGAAGTGGTTCCCAGAAGGAAATTGAATGGAAGCCACTACGAGGATGGATGGATTCCAGGAGCAAAACATCCACTCTAGGATAAAATAAACTTGGGATGGGGGCAGGATAGGCCCTATGAATTGATATTTGTTTATTGATGTTAAAAATTAGAGAGCTGCTAAGAAATAAGGGTTTGTATTTTCCCAAAATTCATATGTTGAGGTGATGGTATTTGGAGGTGGAGCCATTGGGAGATAGATAGATCATAATGGTGGAGCCCTCAGGAATTGGGTTAGTGCCCTTATAGAATAAAATATAAGAGAGATGGTATCGCTTTCTTCCATGTGAGGACATAGCATGTAGGCAGGTCCGAGTCAGCAGTCACCTTGATTTTTAATTTCCCAGCCTCCCAAACTGTGCCAAACACATTTCTGTTGTTTAAGCCACCCAATCTGTGGTATTGCATTACAACAGCTTGACCAGATTAAGATCATACCCAGATCTCACTTTTTAAAGAAGTAAAGACACATAATGAGTCAAAAAAAATGCTCCCTGTTCTCCACGTTTCTCCCAATGTTTCTAAGCTTTCTGTGGGTTGGGGGGGGTGACAGTGTGAGTTTTCATCAGCCAGCCTAGAATGTAAAGTGAGTGCTCAGGATGATTAATGATGGCCGCCCCTGTAGAAAGACCATCTTTTACCAAAGGGGCTGTTTCTGTTTTTAATCCTCTCTTTCTATTACTGGTTTTAAGTAATGTTTTTGGTGAGATTCTGTTTTTCTTTCCGTCAATTGTCAGTGAACAGGTATCGGGCATTATTTGTGAGACTGTAAATACATCACATGAAAAAAATAATGAGTCCTTAAAAAGTCGAGAGAAAGGCCTGCAGAGATGTTTACCTAACATGGTGATTTATGAATGTCCAGGAATGAAGTTTCAGAAACTTCCAAATGAGAAGTCTGGAACATAAAGTCCCTTCCAAATCTGCTTTTATTGTAGCCCCTGGACACATTTTTCCCTTTACTTTTATCTGAAAGTTGGAGAACATTTTTCATGTTCAACTTAAATTGTTTAGTTAATGGTCTAAGAATACTCTTGGGAGCATCCCCCAGCATAGCGTGCTATCACTCCATTCTTCTGACTGAACTTGATGTATCCATTGTGTTCTTGCTGCATAAACTGATCCTTGGAATTAATCATTTTCTTTCTACCAGGGAGAAATGGTAGACGTTTAATGGATATACCTACATCAGTCAATTTATTGAGCCCCTCTGTCTAGGATTAGTAATACACTGATCATTCTAATGTTGAAATATGTATAATTGACATTCATCCTTATTTTAGGTTTCTAAATCTTCTATGTTTGTCCTTCCTGCCTGCTTGAGGAGGATAACTTAGTTTAAGGTTTTTGTTTGTTTTTTAATTTAGAGACTGAAATCTCAGGTACATCTACTGGGTAAAGTGCAGAGGAGGTTAAACAGTCTTAGCATCCTTTCCGGAAGTACACCTTAAGCAATGCTTAGCTTCAGTTTCTTTAACAAGGACTATTTTGTCATCTTAATGGGAATTGTTCCATGGAAGGATAATGATGGTAAATATTCCCCAGGGTTATCTCTTGAAGTCTTCTGGCTGAAAAGAATGGGATGGTGACATAGCTGTGGCATGTCACTAAAAGGACAGAGCCCCTCCAGAACACAAAACCATGGGTGACCTTCTTTGATAAAGAAGTCCCATAAAATACAGTTGCAAGAAATTAAGTGGACACAAATCTGAGTCATAAATAATGGAGTTTGGTTTCTCTTTTGTTTTCAGTTGTTTGAATTTATGAACTTTTTGGCTGAGAATGTCATCTTCTGTTACATGGGCCTGGCGCTGTTCACGTTCCAGAATCATATCTTTAATGCCCTCTTTATACTTGGAGCCTTCGTATCCTTTGAAATACAGAACATGGGGTAACTAGAAAGGACAAGAAACTACTTACTTTTACTGATTATTCTCTGAAATTGTTAAAGCAGTTTCCTCAGGTTCACCGCAAAGCTCAAACTCAAGGCAAATACAGTAGAGCTTCTGTAAGTTGACCACCCAAGGACTGCAACAAAGTGATCAACATATAGAGGTGGTGAGAATAAGCCTACTCCACTGATATGTACATGTGGTGCATGTCTGGTCTATGAAAATTAGGTCAATTTAAGGAAGGGGTAACTCTAGAGGTTCTGCTGTATGTAATTTCTAGTTAGGAAAGAAAAGTATCCTAAGAGATCCTGAAGCCTTTATTAAATACCTGTAGTTCAGGATAAGAAATTTGGAAAACAGTGAGGCAAATAAAGGGGAAAATCTAAAGAAAAATGACATTTTTCAAGTATTCAATATATATTTAACTAAAACTATAAATCATTTATATAAAAATTATGTCAATCCATTCTTTATAGAGAAATACATTTAATCTGTTAGAGTCTATCAGCCAGGATTATTATTAAGCTTTAGAAGCATTTTTATTATAAGATAATAAAACCTTTTCATTTCCAGTGAGGACTTTGAAAATAGGATAGATAGGGTAAAGATCAAATAAAATTAGTACAATAATGTGCATTTAATATCATAAGCATTGTGCACATGTATATTAATAAGGCAGCACCTTTCTTTCCCTATGAGGACAGATAATCTAGACCTCACTTTAATGCAGAGGACTTTTATAGCTCTAGGCCTGGAGTAAGAGGCCCACTTGGGAAATGGACAGGCACCCTCTCAGATCACAGGCGGAGTATCTTAACACCCAGAAGAGCCAGCCCCTCTCTGTAAGTCCTGTTCCAAATAACCATCATTTGCCTCCTAGTCTCTTTTTGTTGAGCATTCAGATGAACTCCCAAATTTCATCCAAAGCCTGGCTTCTGGAAGGAAGCTTCCTTTTCCCAAATGAATCCATCCCAGGAAGGACAAACTGTAATAGACAGACTATCAGGGAAGGTGTCACAGACAACAGAAAGGGAGACATGAACACTACCAATATTTTCAAAGATCTTTACTTATTAAAAACTTTGGTTTTAATCAAATGCCTCCGAAAGCAATAGTTGTTTTATACAGTTAGACAGGTAATTCCTCTCAAAATTAAATCCACTAAAAGAAAAAAGCAAGCAAAGATCGCTAGATACAGGAGTATAAACTGATGGAAAGTAAGGTGATTATTGTGAGCAGAAGTCAATTTCTCTTTTCTAAAGTGCTGTTTGAGAAGATAATGCCACAGCATCTGAATGGTCTCTGCCTCACATTTCACAGCAGAATTGAAGATGGAGTCAGTCATCAGCAACATAAATATGATGAGAAAATTTACAGTGATTGAAACGGTGTTGGGCTAACGATTTAAAACCGAGTATATATGCCAAGAAAAGCAGAGTTCTCTGTTATTTCTAGAAAGGAATTGACATTGAAAGATGAATTTTGGAAGCAAGTTGGAAATATATGAACTGACATGTTTGCCCCTGTTTTCTGAGTCGTAATGTAGGGAAGCTTAAGGACACAATATGTAAGCTCAAGGACTCAAACCCTCATTGCAGCAACATTTTCCTCAATGTTTCCCTGTACTTATCTACAGATAGCAATTTTTGTTGCCAGAGCCTGCAACATATATCCTCTCTCCTTCCTCCTGAACCTGGGCCGTAAACCGAAGATCCCCTGGAACTTTCAGCACATGATGATGTTTTCAGGTATGTGAGCTACGTTATAGAATATGGAGAACCGTGAAGAGACTTACAAACCATTTTGGGAAGCAACTTCTCTCTACCCCAGTATGCCTAGCATTGTGCTGAGACTCTGTGAGATCTGAGGAACAGCAAGATTTCTCTTTCCAAGAGGGAAATGAAATTTAAGGGAATTTTGTTGTTATGTCTTCAAGGTATCATAGATGGCCAAGACCTGGCCTAGAATGGGCATTGAACTTTCCCCTCACCTAGCTCACATCAGTTTTCTTATCGGGGAATTTTAATTATGAATTATCATTTCATAAGCTGCACGTTTAAGGTCATTAGGGTGTAAATGGTGCCATTCTTGTCCAATGTTGGAGTGCCTTCTCCTTAGAATCCCTGATTCTTTCCCATTCAAAACTCCAGAAATGTCTTATAGTGAATACAAAAGCAAATCAGATTTCAGTCTGCTCAACTGTTAGATAAGAAAACGAGTATCAGTTAAGCACTCACCGAGTGCCCAAGAGCAGTTCTAGGCACTGGGTTGATGAAACTGACAAGGCATCTGTTCCCAAATAAGTTATGGTCTAACTGCTTAAAACAAATGTGAAGCCTCCTTTCCAAAAGAAAATAAAGGAAATGAATGTTCTGATCCTGAACAACTCTGGGGATTGCAGTTTCTTTCTATTCTATCAACATTTTCTACCTTCATTCTTCCCTTACATGCCTCCAATGTGTGTGTGCACTTACCATACACTCAGGGGAGGCTCACTGGAGAACACATAAGTATTAAAAAAAAAAAAACTGGTATCAATAGAATAGCACGAACAAAGACCACTGGGGGTACAGAGTAGCAGATGGAGACCCTGAGGTTAAGGATTTCAAAGGGGTTAAGAAACTCAGCCAAGGACAAAGCATTCCTGAACCCAGGTCTATGAGACTCCCCCTCAAACCCAACTACATGTCTGAATGTCTACATACTTAAAAGTAGTATCAGGAATAAAAGGCTTATTTCACCTTCAGTACCCTTGTAGCCTGGTCCACAACAAAATAAATGGAAGCAGCTTCCAAGATGAGAGTGAGCCATTTAATACAAAGTTTAAAACCATTTTTCTGAAGGCCTTTGACAGGTCTTCCCTACATTTCCAGAAAGGCTAAGATATGAGAGAGAGAGAGAGAGAGAGAGAGATGAGAAGAGAAATTAGACAAGTAGGTGATATTTGACTTAGAACATTAATGATCTTTGGCAATGAATTGATGTCTATTACAAGAAAACAGAAGGTAAATTTGATTGTTCATACATAGAAAGGCAGCATTGGGTCATGTTTTCACAAAGCATTTCTAGGAGTTAGAAAGCGTTTCTCTCTCTTTCCCATCAAAACATTAGTATCTTTACTCTGGAGAATAGCAGCTTACTTTCAAAGCTTGGACATTATATTTTAAACATTGCTTTATTTTGACATAGAATGCTTTGAGAAAAATGTAAGGCTTTAGTTAATCACGTTAGGATGCGAAGTGTCTGCCCAAACGGCCACCTGGCTAGATGGTTTCTCCAGGCTTTGGCACCTTCTCAGTTTGCTTAGCTGTAGGATTGGAGCCACATTAAAAACAGAGAGAAGCCAGCATTACGGTGTGTACAGCCAGGGGATGTGGAGCAGCCCAGAATGTGTCATCTGGATGACATTCTAAAGCCAGGAGTCAGCAAACTATGGCCTTTGAACTAAATCTGACCAGTGCCTATTTTGTTAATAAAGATGGAACTCAGCTCTACCCCCTGTCTAGGGCTGTTTTTGCACTACAGCAGCAGAGTTGAATAGAACATTGGATTGCATCAGAGACCATGTGGTTTGCAACACCTAAACTGTCACTGTCTAGCCCTGTTCTAAATAAAGCATCCTGACCCTTTCGAAGAAAAAACAATAACCCCATCACATTAATGGGGTTGAAACTATTCCATGGGATTGCCAATCAGCTAGTTGCCATTGTTAAAAATACAAACATACCAGATTTTCAGGACACCCACAAAACAGAGTATGACTCTGATGTCCAGAGAGTGCCACCAATTGTCTTCTACATTGAACATCCATGGCAGAGTCACCCTTAGCAGAATAGCAACTTAAACTCAAAGGTTGTAGTCACGGACAGCCAAGATGGGCTTCTTTGTTTGACCAGATTTTTGTTTTGTACACATCCCACACTTAAATGAATCTGAACAGAAAAGAGATTGGGGTTTTTCTTTATATTTTAATGCCATTTTTATTAAAAGTTAATATCAATAGTACTCCTTGGTATGGTGGAAAGAACATTGGATTTTCTACTAAAAAGCTGTCTTCATAGCTTTCAGATGAGGAGATAGCAATGTTCATGGTTATTTAGTGGAATCATAGATGCTCCAATTCAAAAGTCACTTTGTATCTTCCTAAATCTTTCATAGGCCCTGTTTTAAGACGCATAGCCAGGGCAAAGTAGGATAGGCATTATTGGTCTTTTTTTTCTTTTGGTCAAATACGCATAGCATAAAACTTACCAAATTAACCATTTAAAGTGTATTAAATGCACTTGTAATGTGCAACTATCATCACCATTATCTCCATAACTCCTTTCATCTTGTTAACTGAAAATCGCTGATTTGCTTAATAACTCTCCATTCCCCTTCTCCTAATACCTGACAATCACCATTCCACTTTCTGGCTCTGTGTTTTTCATGACTCTCGGTACGTCATCTGAGTGGCATCATAAAGTATTAATACTTGCCTTTTTGCAGTTTGCTTATTTCACTTAGCAAAATGTGCTCAAGATTCATCCATATTGCAGCATACAGAACTTCCTTCCTTTTTAAGTCTGAATACATTTTCTTTGTATGTGTATAACACATTTTGTATATCAGTTCATCCATCAATGGACACTCGGGTTGCTTCCACAGTTTAGTTTTTATGAATACCGCTGCTGTGAACATGGGTACACAAACACCTCTCCAAGTCCTGCTGTCAATTCTTTCAATATATATACAGAAGTGGAAATGCTGGATCGTATAGTAATTCTATTTTTAATGTTTTGAGGAATTGCTTCCCTGTTTTCCACAGCAGCTATGACAATTTTACCTTCTCACCAATACTGCACAAGGATTCTAATTTCCCCACATCCTGGCCAATGCTTGTTAAGTTCTGGGTTGCTGTTCTTTGATAGTAGTCATCCTAATGGGTGTGAGGCGGTATCTCATTGTTGTCTAATTTGAATTTCCTTAATCATTACTGACGTTGTGCATTGGGTCATGAGCTTATTGGCCATTTGTATATCTTCTTTGGAAAAATGTCAAGTCTTTTGCCCATTGTCAAATCAGATTTCTTGTCTTTTTATTGGTGAGTTTCAGCAGTTCTCTCAACTACTAGATATCTCTTTCCTGGATATTACTCCTTTATCAGAGAAATCATTTGCAAATGTTTTCTTCCATTCCTTTGGCTACCTTTTTTACTCTCTTCATACTGGCTTTTGATGCACAATCATTTTTAGTTTACATAAAATCAAATTTGCCTAGTTTCTCTTTTTTTGTCTGTAACTTTGGCCTTATATCCAAGAAGTTGTTGCCAAATTTGATGTTATGAAGTCTTTGTCCTTTTTTTCCTCAGAGTTTTATAGTTTTAACCCTTACATTTAGGTCTTTGATCCAATTTGTATTAATTTTTATACATGGTGTTAAGTAAGAGTTCAACTTCCTTCTTTTGCATGTGGACATCCAGGTCTCTCCTCAGCACCATTTGTTGAAAAGACTAATCCTCTCCCCCACTGAATGGTCTCAGCATACTTGTCAAAAATCATTTGACCCAATCCATTTACATGAGGATTTATTTCTAGACTCTCTCTATTCTATTCTGTTGATCCATGTTTGTCTTTATGCCAGTAACATCTTGTTTTGATTACTGTAACTCTGAAGTAAGTTTTGAAATCTGGAAGCCTGAGTCCTTCATCTTTTTCGAGATAGCTTTATTTATTTAAGGTCCCTTGATATAAATTTGAGTATGAGTATTTATATTTCAACAAGAAGATTCCACTGGGATGTTGATAGGGATTGCACTAAATCTGTAGGTTGATTTGGGTGGTATTGACATCTTAACAATATTATGTCTTTCAATCCATGACCATGGGATATGTTTTCATTTTTTATATCTTCTTTAATTTCTTTCAGCAATGTTACATAGTTTTTATTGTAAAAGTCATTCACCTTGGTTAATGCCTAAGTATTTTATTCTTTTTGATGTTATTATAAAAGAAATCATTTTCTTTTTTTTTTAATTAAATCATAGCTGTGTACATTAATGCAATTATGGGGTATAATGTGTTGGTTTTATGTACCATTTGAAATATTTTCATCAAACTGGTTAACATAGCCTTCACCGCATTTTCTTAGTTATTATTTTCAGATATTTATACTCTACGGTTAGTAAATTTAACATGTACCCTTGTAAAATGTACCATAGTTGTGTTCCCACCAATTACCCTCCCTCTACCCATCCTCCCCCTTCTCCTCCCCTCCCCTCCCTCTCCTATTTCCCCTTCTTTTGGGGCTATAGTTGGGTTATAGCTTTCATATGAAAGCTACAAATTGGTTTCATAGTAGGGTTGAGTACATCGCATACTTTTTCTTCCATTCCTGAGATACTTTGCTAAGAAGAATATGTTCCAGCTCCATTCATGTAAACATGAAAGAGGTAAAATCTCTGTCTTTTTTTAAGGCTGCATAATATTTTATGGTGTACAAATACCACAATTTATTAATCCATTCATGGGTTGATGGGCATTTGGGCTTCTTCCATGACTTAGCAATTACAAATTGTGCTGTGATAAACATTCTGGTGCAAATATCTTTGTTATAAAGTGATTTTTCATCTTCTGGATATATACCTAGTAGAGGAACTGAAGGATCGAATGGCAGATCTATTTTTAGATTCCTAAGTGTTCTCCAAACCTCTTTCCAAAAGGAACGTATTAGTTTGCATTCCCACCAACAGTGCAGAAGTGACCCTTTT